GCACAAATACTCCATATACCCAAATATGAACACAGATCTCAGAAAAAAATGAAGATAGCTTCAAATGTACAAGCACAAATTCACAGAAAAACACAAAACATTTAGTGCAGTTCTGACAGCTATTCAGACTTCTCGCGGCCTCACCTGATTGAGTGAAAAGTGAGGCCAGCTAGGGTCCATGCAGGGATTGATTGGGGGCTCTTCTGATGGCATGCCGAGAAGGAGGGGATCCCCATAGCAGGAATAGGAACAGGTAATAGTTGGCCAATTTGAATACCCAGTCTGTTGCAGAGACGTCCACGTGGAGGCAGGGCCGGCCCTAGGTAATTTTCAAGTGTAAGCAAACAGTATTTTGGCACCCCCCCCCCCAACCAATCAATGAAAAATTATATATGGGGCATGGACAAATTTTGGCCCTCCAGGTATTTTGGACTTCCTACTGGCTGTTTGGAATTGTGGGAGTTGAAGTCCAAAACACATGTAGGGCCAAATTTGGCCCCTGCCATATATATGTATGGAAGGAAGGAAGGAAGGAAGGAAGGAAGGTAGGTGAATTCCTTCCTTCCTTCTCACCCTTTTCCCTGCCCTCTTCCTATTCTCTTTGTGTGTGTGTGTGTGTGTGTATCAGTGTTTCTCAACCTTTCTAATGCCACAACCTCTTAATACAGTTTGACATGTTGTGGTGACCCCAACCATAAAATTCTTTTTGTTGCTACTTCATAACTATAATTTTTCTGCTCTTATGAATCTTAATTTAAATATCTGACATGCAGGGTATATTTTCATTGTCATAAATTGAACATAATTAAAGCATAGTGATTAATCACAAAAACAATGTATTTGGGGGAGTATAGAGAATGGATGATGAGATTTGCAGTACCTTCACCTGATTCAGCTCTGAATTCCACAGCCAAGACCCCCACGAATGATAGATCTTGGCAAACAGAACTGCCATGACCAACAAAAAAAATATTGGAGGGATTTGGGAGGAATTGACAGTGATTTAGGGGAGATGTAGTTCACCTATATCTGGAGAGCACTATGAACCCAAACAACTATGGATTTGGACCAAACTTGGCACAAATACTCAATATACCTACATTTGAACACTGGTGGAGTTTTAGGAAAATAGGCATTGACATTTGGGAGTTGTAGTTGCTGTGATTTATAGTTAACTTAGAATCAAAGAGCATTCTGGACTCCAGCAACAATGGAATTGAACCAAACTTTTCAAAGTTGAAGTACCTTTGACTACTAGAATGCTGGGGGGGGGGGGGGCAAGGTCCCTCTGCTACCTGTGCTCTGTGGCTCCCTCGGCTTGTATGGATGAAGCGGGGGAGTGATAGAAGGCCCTTCGCTCACCCTGTGCATTGCTGTTTGCACCGCTTTTGGTGCTTCACTGGCCCTGCAGCCTGTGGGGAACGTGGGGGGGGGGAGGTTGGAAGGGCTATTCGTTCCGTCTCCTGCTGCCTTTTTTGCACCACTTTTGGTGTTCCATCAGCCCTGTAGCTGGGGGGGGGGGTGGGAAGTGGAGGCAAGCCCTTTGCTCTCTGCCCCCCGCCTCCCTGCCGACTGCATGGCTAATGGAACACTGAAAGTGGAGCAAAAAAAGGCAGCGGAGGAGGGAGCAAACGGCTTACTGCCTTCTCTCCCCTTCTCTGTGGGCTGTGGAGCCAGCAAAGTGCCAAAAGGGGTGCAAAAAACAACACATGTGGGGGGCAAGCGAAGGGCCCTCTGCCACTCCTCCGCTTCCCTTCCAAGCTGCCTTTTCATGTCTCTGCCTCCCTTGAGAGCAAGGCCATGGTGCGAAGGCCTGCAAACTGTCGCTGTGCGAGCAGATCCAGGCCTTCACACCATGAGCATTGTCTGGGAGGGTGATAGAGGGTCCTCCCAGACCTGCTTGCACAGTGGTGGTTAGCAGAACTTTGCACCGTGGTCTTGCTCCGAGTCCCAACGGAGAAGAAGCAGCAGCCGCATAAAGAGGGAAGTCACCATGTTGCCGCCGCCTCCTCCAAGTGTCTAACCAGCCCCCTCCTTCCCCGCCACCACCTCCTCCGCCTTGCCTTCACCTCAGGAGGAGGCAGGGAAGGGGGGGGGCTGGTTAGGCCCATGGAGGAGGCGGCGGCGACATGGTGGCTCTCCTATTTGCGCTGCTGCTGCTTCTTCTCCATTGGGAGCAAGGCCACAGTGCGAAGTTCTGCTAACCACCGCTGTGCGAGCAGGCCTGGGGCATTTACGGAAGCGCCTCAAGAACGCCCCTGGGCAAAATGCACTATACCTCAAATGCTTACTTTGCATAGTAGTTGAGCCGCCCCTGCATGGAGGGCATGAAACAGGGGGAAGTGATGATGTGGCTGTACAGATGATTCCTTGATTATCTTAAGTGTCCAGTTCACAGAGACAAAGGTGTAGGATTCAAAAGACAAAGAATGGCAAATCCAGATAGCCAGGAGCTTGGCTGTCTATTCAGAAGGCTGTGTTCATATTTGTTTAGCCTTCTCTTCCATGAGAATGACAAGCCTCAAGTCTTGTTTAAACAGGAAAACAACCTAAGCTCTTCTTGGTGACAAAAAGGATCATCTGCTACACATATACACACAAAGGGTTTGATTTTATCTGGCTTGAGAGATTGCTAGAAATACCATTGTTAATTATATAGAAATCTCAGCTCCCAGGCTCTTATGCAAACAGGAGGTACAGGGACAGTCAATGCCTTCAGGATACATTGATACAGTACACAAGCAATACAAGTTACACAAAAAGTATCATTTTAAAAACATTTATTTAAAGGGTACAGATTTGACAGAGTATAGCTGCTGCTAGGTCCTACTGGAACCTCCAGCGGCTTCTATATTGCAAAACTTAGAAACCACAGAAAACGTTTTAAAAAATGAAGAAAAAAACAATATATTTTTATGCTCCTTTTGTTCATAAAACCTTGGAGGAGGGAGGTGCCATGGCTCGACAACACTAAGGCTTGCATCCTATTAGGCAGCTAGGTTTACAACCTGGTAACTTTTTGGTATTCACATTTGTGTTTGTGGCACTAATGCTACAACCAGAAATGGCTAGAGCCAGGGGCAGAATTGTGTGGTATCGGCTAAAGGGGTGTTGTAGGATGATGTAATAGGGGCTTCCGCTTGTTCCATTGCATTTCACTAATAGAAATGTGTTGTATGTTTCATCCCTCAGTGTGACCGCGTGGATTTTAAGGTTTTGCAGTTCAAATTGGGAGACAATGTGTACCTATGGTATTGTAACTACATGTCCAATGCCAGATCTCTAACAATAAAGTGTTCCATTATCTTTTGCAGGGATTAGGGCTGTGGGCTCCCAAGAAAGGTAGAAAATCATGAATAATTGACCACGGAATCACACCAGAGGATCTAAAAATGCCTATAGAAAACACTTCTCTTGGCATTGCTAAGTCCTCCAGCATATTTCTATGGTCAGCTTCCAGATGTTGACTAAAGAATTGCAGTGGAGGGTTTTGCAATGACTAGAGAGAACACATAGGACATGCACAGAACACAACAACAGAGGCAGTGGCAAATATAGCAAGCCATAGAAATCACATCTGTGAGTGGTCAATCTGCAAATGTCCAGGGACTACATATTTGTTGCAATGTGATATTACTTCTATTGTCATGCTACATCTACAGAAACCTAGGTTTTGCATTTGGGTAAAATATTTGGAAGTCTCCGTGTTCATCTATACTGTAGAATTAGTAACACCACTTCAAGGCCATAGCTCAGTACTATGAAATCCTGGGAGCTGTAGTTTTACAATGTCTTTTGACTTCTCTGACAAAAAGTACTGGCACCTTACCAAACCACAAATCCCAGGATTCCATAGTATTGAGTGTTATCACATACCTGAGCAGTGATTGTTCAAGTGGCCTTGAGTTGTCTTCAGGCTTGAGAAAGGTGGGATAGAAAATAGTAAATAAATAAATAAATGTTTACAATTTAGTAATATAGATATACTTCAGGTACACTTGTATTACTTCTTTTCTCAAAAGTGTTGGATTTCATTTTATGCACAAAGCTTTCCCTCAGTTTATTTACAAACTATTCAAATAATAGCTTCACAGGCAGTTGCTAGTACTGTAAACTTAAATGCTGTTTTGCATTTTTGTATTAAACCTTTGTGTGCTTTTCTTGAATTATTTTTGTTGGAAAATTAAGCGTACATTGAGATTGGAGTCCAGTGCCCACCATAATATGAATTTCTAACAGACTCTTTTTCTTGAGTTTGCAGTGACAGCAATGTGCATATGTCAAAATACCAACCAAAAACCCAATCTCCAAACAAATGTGTTTGACTCTGCAATAAAAAACCCCCCTCCACAATCCATCTTTCTTCTCAGAATTTGTCATGGGGAAATATGCAAAGCTGTAACTTCTGCTTGTGGTGAAAAATTCGGACACATGTGTTTCCTGCAAGTACAGAAGCAGACATTGTGGATTTTAAAAATGGAATAAACAATGTAAAGATTTCTTTAAAACTTAATTAACTAGTCACTTGTGGCCACCTTAAAGGGCTTCTTGCAATATTTGTCCTAATCTTGCACAACTCTAAACAGAGCCAAAAAGGACAAAAATCCACTATTACTGAAGCAAAAAATAAAAATGTTAAAAATTCCCCTTTAGCACCATCACTATTATGAAGTTCCTGTCTGAAAGAAAGATCATGCCAGAGAAAAGAGCAGAGGCAACCCATTTCTGGGAACAGTCCAAAGCACTGCCCTCATTAAAATCCTGTCACCTTGAGAGATAGAAAATGTACTGTTATTGCTGCTCTAATTATGAGTACATGCAAAAAACTGCCACCACACTCTTTTCGTGGAGGGACCATAGTGGTGGTGCTAAGAAATAGCATTAAAGACAATTAATTTGTTTAAAGCAGAGTTATCCTGGACTCAGATTTATGTTATTCTTTGCAAGCAAGCAATGTATAGATATAAATCCTCTCTGTGTGTCTGTCTGTTCACTTGCAGATCATCATAGCGTGGGGAAGACACAAACTGCTGGTATCTAACCTGGGGATTTATGCCACTAATCTGATTACCCCCATATGATGGACGTGTCCGCTTGGAAGGAAATGGAGGTGGCGCTGGTGAATTTTGATAACACGAATGAGGTAGCAGAAGAGCCCTGTTTTTCAAACGACCTCCATGCTACTGACCAATTGCACAAAGGGCACCCCAGCTGTGCTAGCCTTCTGCCCAACTGGAGAATCCTCATCAACAATGAAAACACCAACAATGAGACCATATTCTCCAAACTGTCTGCGGAATTCTGTGACCACCTGGGGACAGAGAATGTGGGCATGGATGAGGGCGACCAGAGAGTCATCATCAACATTGCTGGGCTGAGGTTTGAGACACAACTCAGGACTCTCAGTCAGTTTCCAGAGACTTTGCTCGGAGACCCTGAGAAGAGGATACATTACTTTGATTCTATGAGGAACGAGTACTTCTTTGACAGGAACAGGCCCAGCTTTGATGGGATACTGTATTACTACCAGTCTGGAGGGAAAATCCGACGCCCAGCCAATGTCCCTATAGATGTCTTTGCTGATGAGATCACTTTCTATGAGCTGGGTGAGGATGCCATGGACCAGTTCAGAGAAGATGAAGGTTTTATTAAGGATCCTGTTACTCTTTTGCCAACGAATGAGTTCCACAGGCAGTTCTGGCTGCTATTTGAGTACCCTGAAAGCTCCAATGCAGCCAGAGGTGTGGCTCTGGTCTCTGTCCTGGTTATTGTCATCTCTATCATTATTTTCTGTGTGGAGACTTTACCTGAGTTCAGAGATGAGAGGGAAATCCATGACATGAAGCTGGAAGCCAACAATCTAACTGAAGTTGCCGTGATATCTAATACTTTTACAGACCCTTTCTTTGTGATAGAAACTGCCTGCATCATCTGGTTCTCTTTTGAGTTATTTGTGAGATTCATTGTTTGCCCCAGCAAAGCTGAGTTCTTCAAGAATATTATGAACATAATAGATATTGTATCCATCATTCCTTATTTTGTGACCCTGACCACTGAGCTGATTCAGCACAGTGAGCTAAACGGCCAACAGAACATGTCCTTGGCCATCCTCAGGATTATCCGCCTGGTCAGAGTCTTCCGTATCTTCAAGCTTTCCCGGCACTCAAAGGGGCTACAGATTTTGGGACAGACCCTCAAGGCCAGCATGAGGGAACTGGGCTTACTTATCTTTTTCCTCTTTATAGGGGTCATACTGTTTTCTAGTGCCATCTATTTTGCGGAGGTGGACGAACCACAGTCACATTTCTCCAGCATCCCTGATGGCTTCTGGTGGGCTGTGGTCACCATGACGACTGTTGGCTATGGAGACATGTGTCCTACTACTCTCGGGGGAAAGATAGTGGGGACTCTATGCGCTATTGCAGGGGTGCTCACCATTGCACTCCCTGTGCCAGTCATTGTCTCCAATTTTAACTATTTCTACCACAGGGAGACAGAGAATGAAGAGAGACATATATTGCCTAGGGAGGTAGAGAGAATACTCAGCAGTGTGGTTACAAGGCGTGTGAGCATGGACTCCCTCAACAGCGCAAATGAAAATTATTCTCCAAAACAGGACAAAAAAATATTAAGCAGTCACAGAAGCTAGAAGTCTTGAGCTATCTGAGGGACTCAGGCTGACTTTAGCAACTGATATACCATCCACATCTACACTGTCTATCTCTCTCTCCCTTTTTTAAAAAACATTTTTCGATTTTCAGACTATCATTTTTGCTATCTGATTTCTCGTGGCTTTTCCAATAAACAGGTTATTTCTTATCTCTCCTTTTTGATCTCCTGTCTCTTTGTAATCAAATTCTATACTATCTAATTTTTGTGCTATTGCTTTTTAAATCTGTTTTTAACTTTGTTTTCAAATATGAAAATGTAAAATAACTGTTTACTTTCTTTCAAAATTTTATTTTCTAAATGCTATTTCCCTTAATCCTAGAACTACATTTTGAGTGCCATCACCATGTAAATAGTGTTAAGACTGATTGCCTGCAAATGGCACTTCCAGGGTTGAGCTTTCTTTTAATTGCTGCAAGTCCCTTTTGGGCTAAGAGGAGGATGAGAAAGGAGTTATTTTTGTGCCAAATAGAAGCTGATAGCTGCAAACTCTGCAAACTATTGAAGTTCCCCTTCAATAAAATATTTCTTCCTATGTTTCCTGCTGGACTCCCAACAGCTGGGAGATGCCTCCATAGTAAGGGAGGAAGCATGCTGCATATGGTCAGAAACATTTATTTCATTGTTACTTCTCAGGTTTCAGCGCTGAATCCTACTTACATATAAGTGTAAATGGCATAAAACCATTATACTTGCAAAAATGGATAATTTCACCACAAATTCCAAGTTCGCATTCTAACATTAGAAGGATAACCATTAATATTTTCACTGTCACTGGAAAGAAAATTTGAGATTCAAAAATAGGAATGAGGAGGGGAAAAACGGTTTGTGGATAATTATAATAACTACTTAAATATCCTTTCGTGATTCATTATGAGTCACTTAATAATCATGACGCAGCCAGATGCCTGTAAGAAGACATCCAGCTGCAAAACAGTTTGATTCAGCTCTATAATTGTCACATAATTGAACTTTTTTCTTTTCGTTTGCTTTGTGAAATTAACAATTACCTCAGCATTCATAATATGTATCTTGAAAACTGAAATGTTAAGGTTTTAAAACTGACAAGTGTATTAACATTAACCTACAACTTGCAAAAGGAGGTATAACAAACAAAAAAGAATGAGTCAGTGGGTCAGAGCTGGATTTAACCACGTTTCTAAGAAAAACGCTGAAAACTGAGGGAGAAGTTAGTTTTTACTGACAATTATTCTGTTGTCAAAATCTGCTTAAAGCAGGACAAAACTGGAATCAACTCGACACATCCTGATGGTTGCACCTTTGTCTTGTATCACCAACTGGAGTCTATGAGATGGCTTCTAATTTGCAACAGTTACCCAAGTAACATGACGTTGGCTCCTTTTAATTAATTATAATGGCTTTCTTACCCCCATTTGAACCACAAGTGATTATTCTGCAGAATCACCAGTATCTCTGTTTATCCTGATTTTTTAAAAAACAAGCAAGCCGTCTTCACTGTTTTTTTGCCATTAGGAATCTCACATTATATGTACCTTATCAACGCACACACATATGTGACTTTGTCTCCAAATCTGCTAATAAAGCAGAAAGAAGAATTGTACATAAAACCAGATCATGTCAGCATACTAATCAGGAAGTAAACCCAGCTGAACTCAGCGGTGCTTGCCGCTGCGTAGCTATGTATAGAAATACATTGTGACTCAAATTAACAGAGCAGAACTGGCAGCATTTGATTTGAGTCAAAATTGAATATAACCAATTCTGTCAAGAGAGCATCTATGCATGCATATGAAAGCAAGCAAGCAATAACCTAGTTTATTTGAAAAATATTATTATTACTACAGTGATTAATGAAGGAAGAATCTCTAAGATTTCTCTTGTATCCCAGGGCCCTTCTACACAGCCCTATATCCCAGAATATCAAGGCAGAAAATCCCATGTTATCTGAGTGTGGACTCATATAACCTAGTTCAAAGCAGATAATGTGGGGTTTTTCTGCCTTGATATTCTGGGATACAGAGCTGTGTGGAAGGGCCCTCACTCTTGGAAAACATTCTTCTCCAGTCTTTCTTTAAGTGTTCCTGCTTCAGTTTACCTAATGCCTAGTTTTTTTCCAGCTTCCTTCTTCGTGGTTTTCCTGTACCTACTTTCATCTCTTCTTTTGCCTATTGTTTTCCAAACTCACTTGATTTTATTTCTTCAGACAACAATCCAATACAGTAAACATTGTATAGGCTTTTTTTCTGTGGGACTTTACTTCTATTTAGACATGTACAAAATTGTTCTGTTACTTATTTCTAGACCTTCTTCCATCCTTTGCAATTCCCTCCCTCAGGGTTGATAATGCCGATGCTTGATATATTATGTTTCATTTCATTTTCCCTCCTCTTCTTTTCTTACAGGAACTGTCTCTCTTTTTCTCTTTGCATCTGGCCAAACAGCATAAGTAGTTTTTGTAAGAAAGCCAACCAAAACATAGGTGTAGGTAATTTACTCATGAACCATTCACAATAATACTATGCAGGAGTTATTTCTATTTCCTTATTAGAAGCAAAATATTCAGCAAAGTAAAAGAAACACACACCACAGACATTGCAAGGAATAAGTCCTCTACAATGAACAAGTGTAGCCTTAGAAGCGGTCGGAAGACACCTTATTAGGGAGGGGAGAATATCTCAGAAGAAGAAGTATTTTGCTCCTCTTTGAAGAGTTTCCCACACTTCTGCTCTCTCTCTCTCTCCCTTCTTTGCCTCCTCTCTTTGGTCAAGAACATTCAATTACACTTATCACTTCAAAATACTTTAACATAGTTTATTTTTACACAGAACCCATTTCCCTATAACCATTTATATGCATGCAAATCCCTGACAATTCTGTCCATGACCATTTTTGCCTGCCAATAGGAAGCAGAAGTCCTTAAACTGCTGAATGTCCTTTTTAAAAGGACATGATCATGACTGGATTCTTGCAATATGGTGCAAAAACCTGTATATTACTCCATCGCAGCTGAAAGTCAACTCAGTCATGATAGATTTTTAAATGGTCACTTACATCCCCATTGGTCATATGTACTGACTACTGAGAGGAGTTAAGAAAGAGGGAGCAGGAGTATGGATTCCTCTATCCTGAAATGTGAGCAAACATACCTCTAGTCCTGAAATGTGAGCCTGGAAAACAGTAGGAGGCTGTAGCATGAAACATAGCCCATTCTGCTATCAAAAATTTAGAAAATATGTAGATAGTTGCAGTTCTCAAGTCTTTTTCCTTTGAAAGAGGGAACGGTGCTGTTAACGGCGGTTTGCATCTTCAATATTGGGTTGCTGACTGTAACCAGAAAACCTCCTCTTCTTGTACGATAGCGTTTATTTCCCAGTTCTCAGAGAATCCAGTTTTTTTCCTCCTCCAGTTGCTATGCCAACCATGAGAAGGTCAATTAGATAAGGATGCATATCTAGGGATTATATGTCATATGTTAGCAGCACCAGTTGATAGATTCCCTCAATTTTTACAACTTTGCAGCCTAGTTGGGCTTGCAAAAAAGATTAGAAATATTAATAGCCTTCTATAATTCAGGTTGCTTAATAAGCACATAACACTGTTTTATGGCTTCTAGTCATTCAAACAATTTAATTCTGTCCAATTATATTTAAAAGGATGCATAACCAATCATTTTTAAAGTTTCTTTTTTAAAAGCCCCTAAATCCACTCCTGACTAACTGCCAGGTTTTGACTGAAAGCAAATATGCAAAGGTCAAACTAACACTGAAAGCTGAATGAATATCGTTGAAGGCACGGGTTGCCTTTACTATTTTGGGATCCTGAATTTTAAGCTGCTCTGCTGATTATAGACTTATAGGAGTGGACAAGGCTTGATCAAATCCCACCATCAGCCACAAAAACACTGCACATGCATGCTACATGCAGACAAAATTTGTCACGCTAATTATTAAAGGAATCAGGAGAATTACTCTTAGAATGTTTATCTAAAGCTTAAAAAATGTCAGTGAGAGAAAAAAATAGCCCTGTCTCCAAATCCAAAAGTACAGCAGCAGGTAGTATTTATTATTCTCATCCCTACCCTCATCTATAGCCCCTCCCTCAGTGGCACAGTGGGTTAAACCACTGAGCTGCTGACCAAAAGGTTGGCAGTTCGAATTCGGGGAGTGGGGTGAGCTCCCTCTGTTAGGCCCAGCTTCTGCCAACCTAGCAGTTCGAAAACATGCAAATGTGAGTATGTCAATAGGCACCACTTCTGCGGAAGGTAACGCCGCTCCATGCAGTCATGCTGGCCACATGACCATGGAGGTGTCTATGGACAACGCTGGCTCTTCAGCATAGCAATGGAGAGGAGCACCACCCCCCAGAGTTGGACACAACTACACTTAATGTTAGGGGAAACCTTTACCTTTACCTTTGTCCTCATCTACAGGTGTTTTACTCATTGACCCAGAACCAAGATGTAAGTGTATGTTACAGTAAAGTTTAAACTCCCACATATGATTAGGCAGATTGAAGCAACTGCTTCAGGCAACTCATGCTGGAGGCAGCAGCTCCCTACTTATTTCTCTTAAACCTTTTTACCTTTCTTCTCTCATGGAGAACAAAGCTCTGTGTGCACACAATAAGTCTTTCACCATTCCCTAAACTGGCCTGCTGCTTTGAGTTGCAGTTGAGGATCCAATTCTATTGCTGTTTGTTGCAGTAAGTTTGAACTGCAAGTGCCAGCCAGCTTCTGAGGAAAATATCTTGGGACTCCTTGACACCTTGTAATATCATATGTGTACATGGTCCACCAATAACACACAGAACAGACAGCCATATTGAAAGAAAAAAAATGCCAATCAAACTTAGCAAATAAGAACGTATTTGCTAAGCACCAGCATTTCACAGATAGACTATTAATAACAGAGTTATTCACAAAGAGTTGACCAACAGAAATGTGGTAGGCCAACTGAAGTGGCAAATAGGCAAGTGGACTAAGAGAGATGTGGGCTAAACTGGAGAGGCCCACACAGTCTTTCTGCCTTGGGTTTGTTGACCTGCTTTCCAGGTGACAGTAGTGATGGTGGCCTCAGTCTCAGCCTGGAGGAAGATTTTGAAAATCAAGTTTGGGGAGGCAGGGAGTGGAATGTCTCACACATCAAGTTGCTAGACATTGTACACTTAATCACAGT